AATTCAGTTCCTAGGAACCGATAGCCAGACACCTGCACATATGATTTGAGTGAAGGCTTTGTACAGAAACAACCAGCCTTTTTGAAGTGTCACAATGTCTCCAAACCGACTTTGAATTCAGAGTTGTCCTTCTCCTAGACAAGTTGCCATCCAAGGCTATAGAACCCAGTCTGTCCTGCTATTTACCCATAGGTGACGAAGAGGATACATACCTTTCCTCGTGAGTGAGTGTAATGGACTCGAATGGATTCCTCAATGTGAGCTGCTATCCATTACTCCACCGTGCCTCCTATATATATATATATATATATATATATATATATATATAATATTATATAATATATATATATATATATATATATATATATATATATATATATAAATCTAATATTAGTGGTCTTATATATATATATATATATATATATATATATATATATATATATATATATATTTGTGTGTTTTAGGCAGCATCTTTTCATTCATGCACGTTTCTTTAAATAATATAGACAAGTGTTGTCAATTTATTTTATGTAAATTTTTTTCGTAACGTCTAATAAGTTTAATAACATTATCGTTGAACGAAGAAAGAAATTCACAATATTGATCCATATTTTTTTAATACAATCTAAGCTTATATATATAAATATATATATAAATTCCCAAGAGGATAGAATCCAGGTAGAATTCAATGTTCAGGACAGAATAAGAGTATAAAATAAGTTGTAGGTCTGATGAATTGGATCGTGATTAAGATTCCAGTGTAATAAATTATAACCATGGAATATTAGTGTTTGAGCCTTTTTTATATATATATATATATATATATATATATATATATATATATATATATATATATATATATATATATATATTATTGATATTTAATATTGAATTCAGTTCACTGACAAAGAAGATGATTTTTGAAAATCAGTAATTTATGCATCAAATCATTCATTAGACTGGTTGATATATCTACATATTTTTACTTATCTGGCTGTCACACAAATCTTTTGTCGTGAGGATCCAATAAATATCGCACCAGCCAATTGATATACAAGACCTTGACAACCACAGCAATGTGGGTTATTTATGGCTCAATTATGGAGCATTCAGTAGGGATTGAACTCACTACAGTAGTGATTATATACCTCGCTAATTTTGATAACCATAGTTTACTGATGAAAGACCGAAAATATTGACCGAAGCTTTGGAGCCTTAAATTGTTCTCTGAGTGGAGCTTACAAAAGATCACACTACAGCAGGCGCCAATCTCTATCGAGATCAATAACTTACCTCCACGTTTTATTACAGATAGGAACATTTTGTTTCCATAAGTGTAGACGGCGTGTGTAGACGTCGATATTTAGACATGAAGCCAGTGCACAAAGACTAAAACCGATAAAAAATGCGAGGCTCAGTCGTAGGTAAATAAAGAAAGTGGTTCACACAAATATTTTCCTCTCAATGCTGACATGGCGTACCTATGTCCAACAGAACGATTTTGCGAGTACGCATGGCCTGCGGGGTCGTTCGGTGCGTTGCGACAAGGGAGGGACATAGAAAAGCGAAGGTAATGGAGTAGGGGCGTGTCGTTGGGTGCGCATGTACGCCTCCCCTGCCCACTACCCCAATATATACTTAAGCCACCAGCACCACACCGATCTCTAGCCTCATTAGCTGTAAACTCCTGGCTTTCACCCGATTAAACTAAACTTATTTATTTCGGAATATTATGACGTCGCATTTTGGGACAGAGGAGAAAATGCTGCCGGGTCGATGACCTTTGTTACTTATTTTCCTTTCAGAAAAAAAAACATAAAATTTACCTATCTGACCAGTACTTAAAATGGTCATAGTCTATAAAACTGTGAAAAATAATTGCGTTCAAATATCAATAGACTTTCGAAAGACCTTTTCATATATATATATATATATATATATATATATATATATATATATATATATTGAACAATAAGAAAATAAAAAAATTAAAATCTTTAGACACACTGGGTTGTAGATTAATATTCGTTCGTTTTTTTTTTATTATTTCATTTAGATTCCTTTTGATTCAGTTTCGGCCAAAATGGCCATCATCAGGAGAAGAAATATTTCTTTGCTTAGCAGGAACGAGAGAGAGAGAGAGAGAGAGAGAGAGAGAGAGAGAGAGAGAGAGAGAGAGATCTCGCATATTGAGTGCTCGTGTTTAGAATAGTAATCAGAGCTATTAAGTATATGTTAATAAATATACATTGTTTCTTCTCGGGTAGTCGCATATATACTAGATGATAAAATATAGGTCTCTCCAAAGATTTCGTAAAACATGACCAGACGTTAAAAAAAATGCCGAAACCAAAATAAAAACCAAGTTTTATCCAATAAACTTTTGCGTTTTTATTAAGATGAAAGACGAAAGGATTTTTTTTTCATGTAAAAAAGATTTCTTAATACTTTTCAAAACCTTCATAATTTTTTTTTTAAATATCTTGATTCACTGGTGACA